CCCTCTTCCAGGAACAGAAGAAAATGGAACAACATACGCCCTCCAGTTAGTGTCAAAAATCACAGTGAAGGATACATTTATTCATACAAACAGGCCGCCATTACCGAGCATGGAAAGCTGGATAAGGCATCCCACTAGAGCCATATACAGTAATGACCCAATTTTGTCAGCTCCTTTTTGAAAATCTTTTCTAATGTTCTACGAAACCCATGCGCTTTTCCAGTGGTCTTATGAGAATGAATAAGAATTATTTGGAATAACGATTTTAAGAAGTGATTCAATGATAAAAGTCTGATGCGCGGAGGGGCCGACAAAATTGGTCCATTACTAATCTGACGAATACAGACAAAAAATGTTGTTGAATATTATTGATTGGTCATTCCGCTTGTTGTGCAATATTACCAACCGATGGAAACTAACGATTTTAAATTGGCTCACTACTTGACTAGCTTATTGATCCCAAGCAAATCGATTAACGTATCCCATTCTAGTCGAAATTCTACTACTACACTATGTTTGTTTTGATTCGCTATGAAAATTTGACAGATAAAATGAGGGGTTAGTGGATTTTCCTATGTTTCGACGGGTGAATCGATTAGCTTGGGACCGCAGATAGTACCAGAGCTGAGCCAAAAAGTTGAGCACGTTTCTTCGGGACCTACTAGTCTTAGACTCTATGATACGGGGGCGAAAACGAACCACTTTTCTGTCAAAAGCGAAACAGCTCGTGATTGGTTGATTTGTAGTGCGTAAGATAGAGATATAGATAAAAGAGTAAGAAGCCGGTTGTCTCCTCTACCTCTTAGGATTCACTATGAAAGTTTGACAGATAAAATGAGAGGTTCGTGGATTTTCCTGGGGGGGACGTGCTGTCAAATCAGCCTACTGATCATTCTTGTATGAAACTGGTTCCAAACGTAAACAAACGCTATAGAGATTGCTGACGTTTGTCGTACGTAGTGTGCGTCAAGTATACGTATACGCAAAATGTTTTCATCGGGAAAAAAAACTTCATAGCGGAAAATTTTCCCGATGAAAACAAATCACTTACACAATCATACTTTAGCAATCTCTATAGGTTTCTTATGGCTTGTTTACGTTTGGAACCAGTCATGCGTAAAGCCCTACAGTAAAAGTATGGACGACTGTCACCACAAAACTGAAAAAAGCTGTTCCAATCGAGCAAAGCGGTGCATTTTGACGGTTCGATTGGAACAACTTTTGACAGACGTCCATACTTTTACTGTAGGGCTTTAGTCATGCGAGGTAGGCGACGATTGTTCGTATTTGACAGCCACCTCCCCCCCTTGGCAGCACCTTCCCCACACATTAAACGAGAATTTCCTCAGAATAATGGTAAATTTAGGGAAAACGTGGCAAAATAAGTCACATTCGGTCATGCGCCGTCGATGAAGCCATCATCAACCTGTTTTTTTCGGGATTTTGTATTTAAGAATAACTAGTTTTTAAGGACCTCAAACAGCGGCAAAAATAAATTTGGCTCTTGGGTGATTGTTGTGAATTACGGGGATCAGTTTTCGGAAAATCATTCTCAAATCTCAATAAATTTGCAAATACATTTAATGCTTGACATTCTAATGCATTTCCACACACTCACACTCACAACGCCAAAAAATCACTCCATCTCAAAACTCATAAAACCCGGAAACATCATTTTTTTAATTCTCCTCATAATTCATATGGAATTCTTACTAAAATTCTCAAAAATATCAAAATCTTAAAAAAGTACAATTCTATGAAATTTTAACATATGTATTCTAAGTCCCAGAATCATCAAGATGGCACCCTTATTTGGTAAAAATCTTGAGGCCTAGTGAAAGTTGAAAAAGATTCCAATGAATATTAAATCTTTTACTTTTAAAAATTATGCATGCCCCATTCGGTCTAGTGACCTACGGCATACCTTGGACATACAGTGAACTCTCTACAACTCAATATTCAAGGGGCCATAGAACCATTCAAGGGAATTATCGAGTTATAGAATAACAATCTCATACAAAATCGATATCACAGTAGCCCTGAAATTAATGTTTACTATAGATCTATTATAGATAATAGATCGAGTTATAATAACTCGATATCGAGTTAGTGCACATCGAGTTGTGAAGAGTTGACTCGATTTTTCACATGAGATGTTCTTCAAAAACATAAACATTTTCAGCAGAAGTCATGAGTAGTTCAATATTTATCATAGCAGTATTTTCATTCTGTGATACATTTTCGGGACATATTGTAGTAGGGTAGAGAACTACTTCGGCCTAATCGCCCATTTTGGGCCTATCGAGAAGAAAACTTCAAATAAATCCATTATTTCAGAGTTAACAAGTCAATTATGCGTTTGGTACGATACTTTAGTTAATAAGCTACCGAACGAAGTCAATGAGAACGCGTGGTATGAAAGTTTGCACCCATTATTCCCAAAAACAGAAGAAGCGCTCCGACCGAATCCATTTTTATCTTCATCCGATAAGCCGAAGTGAATTCATTGGCGTTTCAATTGCGTTTCAATGCGTTAGGCCGAGTTTGGCGTCAAGAAGCAGTGTTGGACTTTTGACAATATCTCAACGATTGGTTTCTCGTTTTCAAATCTTATGGTACGTACGGAAAGGTAAATAAATTTGGAAGCCATCAGTGATAATAACATTCTGTTTGGTGCTAAACTGATCTAGATTAAGAATGACTAAGTGCGGGTTGTGCTTAATAGGCCGGAAATGGGGTATTTAACCCTAATAATTTTCGACATTAAAGAAACGAACCATCTAACGGCTGAAAGTTTCTATAATAAAGCAAAGGAAGAAAGAAGAATTTTCGACATCTTGGATGGACCATTCATCAACATAATTTTGCCATTTGCTGCATAGTATTTCCTAAATCGGAACAATATACGGCAAAATCAGGATGAGGCCTCAGATAGCCTAGTCAGCTAAGGCACAAGGTATTATCAAGCCGGAGAGTGCAAGTTCGATTTCCTGTCCGGTCGAGGAAATCTTTCGGGCAAAACGCTCGCATAAGAAGCGTCAAACAGCCAATAAGATGAGGAAGGTTAGGGTAATTTTAATCTATCTGATGGCGATGTTCATTTGCGAACTGCGATCCAGCAAACTAAACAAATTTACGTTTGAAGTAACACATTTATCTTTGGTTTAAGTTTTATTTTGTAAATGAGCCTTAAAAGAATTCATCACAGATAAAATCACCGAGTATTAATGAACTTAGAAACCCATCTTAAATATCGTACTGAATACGACAAATAGCTAAGTTCTGCTGTAAATACATTTATTTGATCATTCTCATCAGCACTCAACATGCATGGTCTGATAGCTTTAGCATTTATGCATTCAGTCACCATCTGCTGGTCGCCACCCACTCCCGATCGGCTAGCGTTGGAATGCTTTCTTCTTCCTTCGGGCCGGTATCTACCGGCGGCGCTTTACCAGAGTGTGTGCGCTCAAGTGGTGGGTAGATACCGTAAGGCACCGAAATCCGAACACTTGTAAAAGTTAATGATTAAAGGTAAATATTAGGGTGGTTCAAAATATCGATTTTGCTCCACCAAGCTCATTCGGTTCTAAATCAGGTTCTGATAATTTTCACAAAATTTTAGCTCATTTGGTTGCGATGTCATGCTGCATGGTCCCTTTTAAGTTTATAAGAAAATTACTATGGGAAAAGTAAACTTTTAGGTGTTCTCCTCCTAGCCTTCTGCTTGAATGAATAACGTGTTTGCAATCTTATAGAAAATTTTCTCAATAACAACTTTTTGATTGAACGTTAGGATAATTAGTTATTGATTGATTTCGGAACCGATAACTTTCTGATATGATCAAAAGTCTGCTTTCAGGGCAACACTGCATTTTGCACTATGGCATAGTAGACTGGATTTTATTTGTCCTATTCTTTTACACCAATGTTGCCTGATGAGCAGTTGATGGAGCATGTCTGAAGAACATAATTTTTCTAGTTAATTAATAACTAATTATCCTGACGTTCAATCAAAAAGTGTTCTTGAGCAAAGTTGTAGCTGAGGAAATTGCATTTATGAACCAAAAAGACCACTTTTTCCATATTACTTTAAAGGGTAGAATTTAGAATCGATTGAGCTTTCGGTGAAGCAAAATTTACGTTTTGCACCACCCTACCCAAGTAACCAACAAAACATTTAATCGCCCTTTTTGCTATATAAGGCGGCTATACCACTGATATCAAGTTCGGAAACCCTATATTTACCTTATATCGCAAAAAGGGCGATTATCGGGTAAATTTTATAATAATCGTATACAGGCATGGAAAATCATTTGCATTCATTTCGTGCATTCATTTACATTCATTTGCCCTTAACTTTTTTCATCAACAGAATTCCGCAAAATGATTTATGAAACTTTTGTAGGTTTTATTATTAGCTAAAACTTTTGTTTACAACTCAAATCCTTATCTTTTATTTATGACGAACCAGAGCGAACAGAATCCACTACTGTTTTTCAGTGAATGTATTTTACATTCACTGAAAAACAGTAACAAGTTCTGCCCGCTCTAATTCGTGATGCGTAAGAGGTACAGATTTGAGTTATGTGCAAAAGTTGCAGCTAATAAAAAAAGCTAATAAAGCTTTGAACATCATATTGTGGATTGCTGTTGATGAAAAAAGTTAGGGGCAAATGAATGTTAATGATTGCATGAAATGAATGTAAATGATTTTCCATGCCTGATCGTATAGTATAGCCCATGTTCATCAAATTGTGTTACAAAGTAGATACAACATTGAATAAAGTAATGTAATGTACAGATTGAAAAAAAAACCCGACCGACATTCGATGCAGTACGGTACCTACTTTTGATGGCTATGTGACAACGGAAACATATACACGATCAAATGACGCACGAAGAAAGCGATATACGAGTGAAGAAGCGCCGAAAACACCCAACCACCCCCGAGTGCCCTTTGATCAACCAATTTCACTATAAATTAATTTGTATGGCGAAAATTTTGCACATAATAGTATTGACCACCGGGCAGCAGTGACAATTCAACTGTGGGTGCGCTTTTGATTGGAACGTGTGATTAATTAATCGTGTGTGTGTCTCTAGATCCTGTGCTGTGCTGTGTGATAACCGAGGAAACTGTGAATTGGTGAAATTGGTAGTGCAAATCGATTCGCTCAGAAGAAAGGATATCACGCGGAAGAAGGATTCAAACAAAAAGGATGATGGTGCGAGTTGGACTGTTGCTAGCAGCGTTTGTGATTGGATTGTGTCAGGCCAGAACACTGCCGAATCGTGTAAGTGGTTAACTATTACTCATAGGATCTAATGAGGTATACTCTCGCATTCAGAGACGAACCAGCCCACGGCTGAAAGTGTCTTTAATAAAAACAATCATAATAATAAGTAAACTTACATGGCGTGCAAAGACTTTTGGAGAACACCAGATTTTGGCAGTGTTGGTAAATGAAATTATCAGTGACATGTGAACTGAAATAGCCATTTAGTGCATGCATTACAAATAAATATAAAGGAGAAAAAACCGATATCCTTAGGCCGTTCGCAATGCTGTTGTATTTTATAAGGACTGTTTCAATTTGAAACTAGAACAGAAACGCACCTCTCGCAATGCTCAGTTGCAGTTTCATTATTCGAGCACTATTTTGCACCAGATTTGCAACTACTCGACTTAATTCTGAGTGAGTTTGAAACACGAATGGAACTCTGTTTCGAAGAGCTTCACAAAAAAAAAACTCTATGAACTTCATAGAGAACAGTAAAGTTTATGGAACTTGATGATTACAAACATCTTTTAGAACTGTGCGTTGCTCATAGATTATAGATCGTGTTGCAGTTTTATTTTTGACAGTTTTAAATTATAGAATTGCCGAGTAGTTTTAAACAATTTTGAAACTCAGCATTGCGAACGGCCTTAGGCATCAGTGCATCTAAAGTTATATTTATGAGTTATATAAGTTCAGTATATTTGAACGAAATGTTTTTTGAGAACTAAAGGCTGACTAAAAGTAAATTGGTACGCACAAAAAGACTTATTAAAACTTCAAAGTTACAGCATTAGATGGTTACATTTCTCCAGTTCGAAAGAAACATCGAACCTTCTTCTTGATGGAGTACATCAGCATCCGCACAGTGGAAACGGGCACGGAATCAGCACATTTTTTTTCCATTTTAGCCGCATTTGCTGGATGTCCTTGACTGCCCCGCCGCTTCGTCGAAGTCGCTGCTTTGAAATTGTCCAGTATTTTTTCGATTGATCGAAATTCCGGGCAATTCGAAGAATTCATTAGTTTGGGGACAAAATCGATCTTGTTGGCAGCATACCACTCCAGAACTACCTTGGAGTAGTGGCAGCTGGTCAAATTGGGGCCAAAACATGACTTTGCCCCCATGCTTGCGGATGAACGGCAATACACGCTTTTTCAGACGTTCTTCGATGTAAACTTGGGATGTCATCGTCGAGGATGTGACGAATGGTTCCGTTTTCAGGCCACAACTGCAAATCGCTTGCCAAATCATGGCCTTCTTCGCGAACTTGTCGGCAAACACGAACTTGAATCTTCCCGGCACATCCCCACGTCCAGTCGCGATGTAAAATCTTGACCGGGAAGCTGCTTAAAATCGAGTTTGACGTATGTTTCGTCATCGATCAAAGTGCAGCCCTTGTGTTTCGTCAAAGCACGGTCGTACAAGAGCCTTGCACGCTTTTTGACCACAGAATTCTGCTTCGTGTGCCGGTTTGGATGTTTACTGGCTTTGTACGACTTGTATCCTTCCCTGGCAAGGATGTTCCGCACCGTTTGAAAGTTTGCGTTGTACCTTCTGGCCACATCTAGGATCGAAAGACCGGGGTTGGCTTTAACGCTCCTCAACACCTTGCTGCGCAGCTGACGATCCCTGGTTCCAGTTTTTCGAAGGTCCGCTGATTCTTTTTCACACTCAGGGTTTCCTTGTAGGTTTTGAGCACTCGACAAACTGTTGTTTCCGGCATCTTCAGCACTTTAGCGAAGACAACATGTAAAGAGGACTGGCAACTTTGCCTGAATCCGAGCGACATACACAGTAGCACTGTGCTCGATGGAAGGGGGAAGCAACGCATAGAAAAATGAGCAAATGCACAAACCTTTATTCTGAGGATGGAACATTTGCTATCCAATTCGTTCGGAGCATTTAACTTTGAACGTCAGATGACGCGATTGTGCCTGTCTCATGCCGGTCGTTTGAGAAAATGGCCAGTCTTATTGATATGTTGTCTTCGACTTTAGCCAGCTTGGAACCGGACCACTCCGGATTTTCCAGGTGTTTGTGCTCAATATTTTTTCTTCTTTCGAGTTCCATTTGACGTTTCTGAACGCGATCGACTACTTTGATCAAACTTGCACCAGTTGTTCTCTATAGAAGTGTAAACAAACCATTGTCAAAGATATTTGATTCCCAACAATAGAGGCGTGCTAGCGGCACGCGAAGGGCGTACCAATTTACTTTTAGTCAGCCTTTAGGTGCAAACCGACTGGAAATACTGAACAACCAGCGAGTACAAAAAACCGTTTGTATTCGAACCAACCACCGTTTGGCGAACATCAACTGGTGCACAACCGAACATAAGATCTCTGATTTATGTTTTTAACCCTTAACCGAACGGGACGAAGTTGTATTTATTCTAATGCCCCAATCTCGAAGACGATGTAACTAATTTGCGATCTGCTTGAAGTTTCATCAAGGGGAAACAATATGCTCTACGACAACATAACAGACGTCTCCTTATGACCCTCCCCCTTTTTATGTGGGGGCCGATATAAGTGTTGCTTTTGGAAGGCTTCTGTCGAAATGTGTGCCATACATTATTTTATTTACCACATTGGCCATTTGGTGGCACCAGAAGTTGTCAATGTTCCGCTGCAACAGAAAACTAGTGAGCAACATGTACTTTTTCTCTGAATTGTATGGGTAATCCAAAAGAGGCATTGCTCAATCTAAGGCATTTAGAAGGCTGATTCTCTGGAAGATGGGTGCACCGGAAGATCGAATTTATAATTATAGAAGAATTTGTTGTTACGAGAAATTTGAAATAGAATCCACGTGAACTTTAAAATAAAAACGCGCCAAAACAAATCTGATAAGCAAATCCGCGCCAAATTCGCTTCAGAACAAATATGATAAGCAAATCCGCACTAAATCCGCACCATAAGATGTCTGGTAGCAAAACCACGCCAAATCTGCGAAAATAGCAAAAATAGTGAATTCCGCGTTGCAATAACAACCCTGCAATTAGTCTGTCAGAGTTCTCTTCCAATTTGGCAAAACGCAAATGTAGACCTACTTGAGCGGTGGCTGCACTTTAGTAGGGACACATCCACAAAAATTTCTGAATGCTGTTAAGCATTATACCATCTAACAAACAGCACCAGATCTACTTCAGCATTCTTTACAAAAAAATCGAAGACGGGGGACTTATGAAGACTGCTTCAGGCGACATTATGATCAAATATACCGAATGTCGCTGGTGAATGTCGTCTTCGGTTGTGATCCATCACCGATCTCGTCATTCCCGACAATCACGACACACATCTGTGCTCGTTTTGAAGCAGTTGCTGCTTTGCGTGCTTATGTGAGTGTGTTGGTGAGTGAGCCCAACAGCTTCCGTTTAATGTTGCCTGCTTTGTGTGTAACTCACACAGTCACGCCTACCGAGACGAACTTGGAATGCGTAGGCATTGTTTTCATTTTGTTCTGTCGTTTCGCCTTTTCTCATGATCGTACTGCAGAAGGCTTCACTGTTTTCGTTGTGCTTTTCATCATCAGCAGCAAGTGTAACGTTTTGCTTGTGAGCAGCGACCATTACTGGTGATTGTTGTTTGCCATGGCTCTACCTCTCACTGCGTGACAAAACGTTCTGTCAGCGATAGTCGGTTGATGCGAAGACGAGTGGTCACGTGAGTGTCATGATATTTTGCATCACTGGTTCCAGCACTTTTTGCGATTTATGAGCAAATTGAACTTAAATTTGGGTCGTTCTCATTGGCCGTGTGTGCAAAGTTTAATTCAAATCGAAGAGAGTCATGTCCAACCGATTTGCCATTTGGTGTACAAATACTCTATTCGTTACTGAAGAGATCATACAAGTCCTGGTTGATGAGGTAGATAATATGTATAATATAAGTTTGTGAACTATCTGGAAAACCTACAATAATACAATAGGTAAAGTTTAAGGAAACTTATCCTGAATTTAGTATACAGGGATGCCAGATTAGAAAATTTGTTTTCATTTTGAAGATATTTGAAATTCTGTGAAAACATTTTGTTTCCAGTGACATTTTGAACACATTTGAAAACATGAAAACTGTGTGTGAAATTTGTTGCTACAGAAATGGAGATATTGACTTTACATTTGTAAACTCCTCCTTGACCTTGAGCCCATTTTAAAATTGTTATTAACTAGGGGAAATGCATGTAATGTAGGCCTAAATGCCCCTAATTTGGGCCCATACCTAAATACAGCAATGGACTAAATTTTCAATAGCGACCAAAAATACCCATTAGTACCATCCCAATAACGCGTTCATCTAGATAAAACTGATAAATAGCAGATAACGAGTTAGTTAGTCTGCATCTATGTGATTCCTAATCTTCCATTCGTTGTTCCCTAGGTTGAAGTGGTTAATACTAGGGTTCTGATGCATGGTAATTATCCGTGTCATTCCTTAATTTTAATATTAAGGAATCCAATTTTGACTGACAAAGGGGCGTGCCTTTGGAGGGCCCAACAAACAATCGTCTATTGAAGAAACGACTTCTTAGCAATTTTATTCAACTGCATGCTTAATAGTACTTGTACTATTTTTAATAACAACTTCTGTTCCGGCTTTGTTAACACAAATCTGGAGAATTTATTCAACCACAACATTGAACCTACTTTGGGTATTGTATAAGGTATGTCGAGAAGCTTTTATTCGACTTATATGAGGTTGTAACAGAGTTCATACGATAATTTTTTTGATTATTCAGCGTTTATTAGACATCACTGCTTCCTTTTTAAACAGTGATGCTCTGTATACGCTTGATTCTCATGTGAAGTAACGTTTAATTAGACATTATTATACATTTATTAAACGATTATTCAACTGTGGGAAAATTAACCCGAAAATAAGAGGGGACGGGGACAGACAGGGAAGGATGGTTGTGTTTCTTAAGTGTAATTGTATCCATTATTTCTGACGTTGCTCGCACCACACAGATATTAGAAAATTTATAAATACTTATACATGTCGTTGTATGGGATTCGAACCATGTACCTTCCGATCACCAGCCGCTTGCCTTGTCATCTGAGCTATCCTAGAATTCATCATGTGGGCAACTCAATAATCAATAAAAGCTTGCATGAAAGTAAATACCTATCAGCTTTCCCGATCGCAACTTTAACTCCTTCAAGGCCCTGTGGGAATGATTAATTCATTCATCGTTGTTTAACATAAGACCAATGTTACCTCTTCACCACTCCAATCCCAAGGAAGGTTATTTTTTTAACTAGATAAATCCATTCATTATCGTGAGTCATGTGATCGATGATTACTATTTAAATTAATTAGATGTAGAACAAAAATAAAAAAAAAGGTTAAGCTTGGGATTGAACTCACGACCTTCTAATTGAAAAGCGGAAACGGTAACCACTACTCTACTGATTTCGCCTTGTTGTTAGATTGAATCAGTGTTGTCGAATAATGAATCTAATACGTCGTTTGTAATGCATTTACAAATCATGTGATTACAACATGGACGCATAGTGGTATAATAGCTATTATGCTGACTGTATTCACCTTTATTCAGCAATATTGTAAAGTAATGCAATGAAATCTAATAAAGGAGCTGGAGAACATTTATTAGACGTCTAATAAAGCATGTTATTAAATCAATTGAAAACAGTCGAATTAAAGTGTCAATGTATGTACAAATTACACTTATTCAGTTTGTTATTAGATCAAACTTCTGGCGTTGAATTGGGAAGACATTTAACACTTTTACAGCTTTTAATAAGTAAATTAATCAGATCAGAGCAAACAGTTGAATAAATGTGCATCTATGGATCTCAATGAGCTTTTTCAGCACATAATTCGACAACTCTTTTTATTCAGCTTTGTACACTGTTATACAGCATTTATTCCATATATATGCTTATTTGTGACTCTGAATTGTTTGTTGGGTGGTATAAGAGCTATTTTGCTGAGTGTATTCACCTTTATACAGCAATATTGTAAAGCAATGCAATGAAATCTAATAATGGAGCCAGAAAACATTTATAAGACGTTTAATAAAGCATTTTATTCAATCAATTGAAAACAGTCGAATTAAAGCGACAATGTATGTGCACATTACACTTATTCAGTTTGTTATTAGATCAAACTTTTGGTTCTGAATAAGGAAGACAGTCAACGTTTATAAAGCTTTTAATAAGGAAATTAATCATATCAGAGCAAACGGCGGAATAAAGGCGCATCTACCGATCTCAATGATCTTTTTTCAGCACATAATTCGACATCCTGTTTTATTCAGCATTGTACACTGTTATACAGCATATATTCAATGTTTATGCTTATTTGTGACTTTGAATTGTTTGTTGGGGGTGTTTCAACACTCCCGGTCGAGTGGCCACTACCCAAGTAACAATTTAGTAGCCTTTTGGCTTTCACACTGATTTTTTTTTATTCTTGTTTTATAATGGCAATAAGCAATCTTTTTAGTTTAAATACAGCATTTAAAATTGCAACACATTCTTGGTCAGTGGTTCAGCATTTTGCTGTTTTAAACACCTTTTAAAATCTGACGATAAAGTCAAAACGGGTCTGGTTTTAAAAATGAATTTAATGTAGCACTCTATCCCTGTATGAAACTGTTTAGTTAGTCAATCATAAACCTATTCGGTATTTTTTTTATGCCCCGCAAAATACTCCATAAAGGTGCTTTATTATAAAACCGTTCGGTTTCAAACGGGAACCAAAATCATATATTGCTGCTTTGCTCCCTACTGATTGTAAATTAAACTAAAAATATGGATCCGCCTAGAGACAGAGAAAAAATAAATCGGTTGGAGATTTTAAACGAAGAATCTCAAGGAAATGCCAAAGGGTAGTCGAATAATAAAACTAGCGATAGTATGAGGAATAATTGTAGCGATACTGTCGACGGAAAGGAAAAGGACTCCAATTTCAGAACTTCCTGTTAAGCCCAGCAGCTCTGAATGAACCGGTCAACAATGACAGAACAACCGACTGAGAAGAGTAAGTGAATGCGGTTCACGATGCACTGGAAGCCGTCAAATTAGACGCTTTAAATTTATGTATTCCCAAAATATTGTCAATAATGGCGTTTGCGCCACGATCTAAATAACCACAGACCAACCTCTGCAGAAATCGAGTTTCGATGATGATTGGAATAACATGCATCTGTGCCAAACTGGGACTGCGGAAAACTGCCGACAGGAAACTTCAGAAGCTGTCAGTTAGCTGGAAACTGACTGCCTTCCGAACTATACCAGTGGCTTCATTCGGCGAAAGGGTCACCTGTTCGAAATCCAAGCAAGCGCACATTAACTTCCTCGCATCATCCGGGAGAAGGGAAACTTTTTGGGAACGATTGAGCTTCCACCTGTTCAAAATTATGCAGATACACTTCCTGATTAACTGCAGCGGATGACAATCGCCCTTATCGAGAATGCCACGCAACATGTTGATCCAACGCAGGAGTAGAAGCTCGGTGCAATGATCGCGCAACAAAACGATCGAAATGAAAACAAATTTTGACGTTTAACTTTTTCCAGGCACCATTAATGCCGTCATAAAACTAAATGGAAGAGAATCCAGCAAAATGGTCTCAGATAAATACAATTCAGTCTGGAAATTATCTTCATTAAAGCCAAATTAAAACGTTTTATATTTGTTAGCGATTTCATGAAAGCAAAATAGCTTTTTCACAATGGCATATGGAAAATCAATTTTTATGCCACCGCCATATTGTTATTATTACATTTGTTTTTTGCTATCTTCGTTTTTCAAGATGTTTTTCCATGAAAATAACTTGAATCTCATAAATTCATCAATGAGCAGTAGTAGAGATCCCGAAAATCATTAAATTATCTCGGCTGGACGCATTGATTAATATAAAACATAGCTATTCGTTGTTTCTTAAATTAAAAATAATAAGTAAAATCAATGATTTCCCAAGGCGGACTTATTTTTTTCGATCTTTCGAAGCATATTTTACATTAGATTTAATCTGTCACCTAAAAATAGACCACAAAATGAGAACTGCTTTGATAAATTAGTAATTCGTTTGCATTAGACGAGGAAATTTAAGAATATTTTTGAAATATTCATTTTTGAACAATGAATTTAGCAAGATCTGATGATATTTATGTATCCCTTTTTATCTTGATTGATGCTTTATTTTCAGTGCGGTTAGCAAGCGTCAAAGGCAAATGGCACTAGTATTGATGCCAAATGGCTTTTATTGTAGTTTTGCTAAGGATTTCAAATGGTTTTCAATGCTTTCGTCATATAACCTTTTTGCAGCAAATCAATCTTGAAGTGCCTCGAAGATATGCCCTTCAAAACCTTCTTCGGGTGGGCCAACTAGACAGATTCTAGTCTTAATGATGTTTTGGTGGATGTAATAAAGGCAAAGCCGTCTTGACCAGGGTTTTATGTATGTTGTTTTATAGTAGCCTTGTAGTATTTCATAAAACGTAAAATGTTACTTGGGTAGACTCCACAGTGCCCAAACGGTTTCAAATCGGGTCCTGATTAGCCTCCCAAAATTTGAACTAATTTAGTAAGAAACTGAATTGGCATAAACCATTTGAAGTTTTTATGGAAATTACTATGGGAAACCCATTTTTTATTAAATCTATCTAACAATTCACCAAATCCGGAGATGAACAAGCCTACGGTTAAAAATCTCCTAAATAATAAAAAAATACCATATCGATCTGTTTGAAAAATGATAACTGTGCTTGTGTGAAATTTAATCAGCTACAGCTTTGCTGAATACCACTCTTTGATAAAATGTAAGAAACCAAAGTTAATTTAAGTGGCTGATATCTTATGATTATACTCAATCAAATGTTCAGCAGGCAACATTGGTGTTTCTGGCGCGTAAAATAAAGCACACAAATCATGGCTACTATGTCACACTGTACAATACAGTGTTGTCCACAAAATAGCTGCTTGATAATGGCATAAGATTATCAATCTCTTAAACAATCAATAATCATTTAATTTGACGTTTGGTGGAAAAACGATCTTAGTTTGGTTTTCCCATAGTAATTTCCACATAAACAAATGGTTTGTGCCAAGTCAGTTCCTTACTAAATGAGTTCAAATTTTGAAAGGCTAATCAGGACCCTGTTTGAAACCGTTTGTGGAACGAAAATTTCAAATTTTACATCAGTCTAGTGATCGCCTAGGAAATCAATCATACTCATCGATCAGTTTTGCCCATAAAATTATCACATCGACGTTTACTTCCGCACCGCGTCGCGTTCCGTACTAAACGGGTTCGCCGCTTCACTATCGATTAAGTCATCTGCATTTTGCATTCAATTAACGAACACCATTCCGTGTCACCACCAATCAACAGCACCTCACGTGATTGGTAGGCACCTATATTAGTGCATCATATGCCAAATAACCGGTGGCAGTTTCCCTTTCGATTATGATTACCACACCACGCACAAACATACCATAGATGCCCTTTGCTGTTTCACCAAAAATTAGAAACGGTTTGACAATCTATAACTTCCACTGCACATTCATTCATTTTAGTCCTTCTGCTTTTATTTCTCCTCTATTCCAGAGCAAACAAGTGAAAGCCTACGCGTACGTGCTTCCAGCCGGTGCCGAGGAGATACGTGATGACATTAACCATTCATTTGTATGTGCGAATCGAACCGACGGATTCTACGTTGACATTGATAATGACTGTCAGGTGAGTTACTCTACAATAATGATACGAGAGAGTCGAGATCGTGGTGGCGGTGATGGACTATATACAAAACAGAAGTGTGTTTTAAGGCTAAATTGTGTACTTTTATTTGCAAAACCTTTCACGTTTAACGATAACGACTTGAAGATCGTCAAATGAACTGGATTGATCATGACTTATAGCATTTGTAATTTCACTTTGTCTAATTTTCTATAATTGTACATTCTTGCTAAAAGAACAGATTGCCAACTAATTTTGACGGAAATCAATACAGTAAGGGCACGATTTTGGCAACACTCAATTTTTTACTTTAAATCGTCAAACAATTTAAGATGTTGGTCTTGTACTGAATTTCACTTCCGACACTGATTCCGATGAGGCGGTACGACTTTTACATTACTATCCATTAGAATGTCACAATGGAAAAAGTTGAAGATCTTACCTTTACTTCAGTAAATCAACTTAGTTGTATAACCGTTGCATTGTTTTAATATTACTGATGAGTTTTCTAACAATCGGAACTCGATTAGCTGGCGTATATAAGACAAAAATGCGGCAGAACTTTGAATTTCAGTAGTCTCTTTACGGAATGAATTCGCACAGGCGAATGATATTGATATTATAACTACTGAAATCATGCATCGTGGTGAACTTTGTAGGTATTGACATTGATATTTCGCAGCACTGATCACATCCTAAGCTTCAAAACTATCCAGAAAGAGAATAAGCAAATTATAAACATTGGAAACGTGTTGCCAAAATCGGACCCATAATGTAGTTTTAGTTCAACAACATGGGACTTTAGCTCAATAGGTGGAAAGTTTGTTCAAATTCAAATTGTGTTGAAAAATTAAGGGAAAAAAATGGTCTAAAGCTTCACCTTTCGAGTGTCCGGCACGCAAGTCTGAAAGAGTGCCTGCAGGACATAGTTTGGTGAAACCATTCGCATAAAATTGGGATCGACAGTGCAGAACATTGCAATTTCTAGCTCAACGTCCTGTTCCAAGAATCGCAGGTTCCGTATTTGTACAACGTGCTGTTCGATCTGCAAGTGGCGGATTTTACCATTTTTAACGATATGTCGGATGTCTCCTGCGCAAATGAAAGACCGAAGATGGCTATCGCAAATTCAAATCTGTATTTTTTTTTTCGAATTCAACTCAAGATAACATAAGAATAATGTCAACAACTTCAGCTCGCTGCGCTGGAGATAAAAAAAAATAAGCTCTAATACCAATTCAATTGGAGCTGCATGTAATAGATAAAATAAAAGTTAAATACCAAAAGTCCATCCTAAAACCCTTAGCAGACTCAGCAGCTGATCAATTTCAGGCATTTCTGACCGCATCAGGATTTTTGAGGTATCGCTGCTGCAGTCTTTTAATTTTTCTTTGGAACTGACCTTTTTTTGCCCCGAAATCACATTTCACCCCGAATAGTCGCAGGGCCTTTTTGTTGGTTTGCTGGATTTTTTGATACACCTGACTACCCTTGCGGGCTCTGAGATGCATATTTGGCATTTGCAGCATGTTGAGTGTTTTCCAGCTGGTGGCAATGACCGGAATGGAGCCGTTGAACAAAGCATTCAGAATGTTCCCCGGTGGAAGCATGCTTAAGAAAAAAGGATCCATTCGAATGCGTTGGCAAAGCTCCAGCATGATATCCTTCTCCAGGAAACGTTGCCTTGCTTGACCAGCGGAGATCTTGTCGGGTGAACACAGCTTGCATTTGCGGATGGCATTGTTACGATCTTCGACGGAAACGTACTGCACCAGGATATCCTGCTTCGAATGCATCACGACGCAATCCATCCGGGCAGTGGATATACGATAGATGTGCTGTTCGAAAACCTGCTCCGTTAGCCCCAATTTTTCCTCTTGCAGAAGTGTGTGTTTGACGCTGTTCGTTAGGTTGAATTTTATAGGTGTACGACCTGTGAGGGAGGGTAGAGCGATAGTCAGTTGTTACGTGGGCGATTTTATGCAATGGGAATTGACATTCACAAACTTTAACGCAAATCAGATTCCGCAGAATGATTCAATCATGTTTTTGTAGACCATGATTGAGGCTTAAAGTGCGCTTTAAAACCTTTATAAAACTTGTAATATGGCTCAAGAAAGTAATGGGACAGATGGTAGTGTGGAAACAGATGACAGGTTGAGAATAATTATTTATGTGTGAAGTGCTTTGGCATAATGCCAAGATACAGACCACGTATGGGATACCTCGGAACCGGTTCCGGTAGCGCCCTAATGAGGACACTTTTAGGTATGTATTTATTTGCACTTACCTATTAAACTTCATTAATTTTCATACAGAAGTGTTTTGGCATCTTAGTAAGTTGCGATAAATGTAACAAATCCGGAAACCCCGGTCGTAATTATTTTTTTAAGTTTCAAAATTTTCAAAACTCTTCCTGGTTCTAGATTTATTTTTTTTATTTTCTGGGATCTCGGCATTTTTTCGATGTTCTATTATTCTGAATCTTAAAATTTTTACTGTTACCGAAGGCCGGTTCCGAATATTTAAAATATCACACAACTTTGATTGTTTAAAGACTAGCGTTTGGAAACAAAAAGGATCTGTTTTTTTTTAATTTGCCAACAAAATAAAATCCAACAAAATGTTCATATATGGGATCAAGTGACCCAGATTTTTTTAATCATTTTTCCGTCTTGGCTAACTTGGTCCAAAGAGTACGCGTCACATTTGGATTTAAACCGACCCTCTGGGCCCCGTTAATCCACGTGTGTTCTAGGAAAGGCTGAAACACATAAGGCTTCAATTAATAATTAATAGTGTGAGGCATCAGTAGGATTATTTTTTTTTAATTTCGAAAATCCTTTTTGTATGATGTCTAATTATTTTAAATAATTTCGATTTTCGACACATTTGCACAAAATCATTTTTTTTTTCAATTTTTGTAAGACAGAACTTTCTATAATGCTGCATAGGAATACAATTCATAGTTGCATGGGTGAACAAGCATTGAAAATGTGTTAATTTTCAAAATTATTGGGGTGGCACTCTTGTCCCACCTGACTTTACAGCCAAAATCTTGAAGCTCGAATTGATCCCAGTTTGGTTAGAATCGTAGCTTATGAGTTTTGTTAGGATATCAGAGCTACCGTATCACAGCTTGTTAAATCATCCACTATTGTTTGCTTGTTGATTTTTTTTTACGATAGGTAATCAAATAAGATTAAATTTATGAGATTTAATCTTTTGATGTTTTTCCAACACTGATCAACAGGCTCAAAAGTATTATTAGGCTGAAATTCTGATGATAATATGATTGTATAATAAGTAGCACAACCATTCAATTTATTCTGTGCAACGTGTATTCTCATGCCCATATAATGAAGAACCACTTTTTCAAACGAATCTCATCGTCTGTCAATTGAATCACATTCACTATCAATTTATAAACGGCAGTGGACTATGGAAGAAAATTTTGAGATCGCAGAAGAAAAATCAAAATAGAAAAAAATCAAAATTCTGAGACTCTCGGTTTAGAAAAATCAAATATTCAAGATTAGGGGTGGTATTTTTTTTTACATTCAGGGGTTATAAAATGTGAGTCCTTAGAACAATATTCCGAGCTTATGAACATTTTCAAGATTCTGAACCATGAGAAGCTTTCAAGATTCAAAATTGAAGACTGGAACGTGCAAAAATTGGTCGACAAAATAATCGTTTCTTTCAGTCAAAATTCATATCACCAAAATCTTCTTATTTTTCTTGTGGTAGTTCATTTCATATATTTAATAGAAAAAATGTTCTTTTATTTTTTGGTTTGCCAAATCCGAACTGCCGTGCCTTCCACTTAACCCTTTCCATTAAATTGTGCACAGTGGTCTCATCGACCTTATTCACCGCCGAACGCCAGTTAGATTTAAACTGCTGCTCGTTTTCCATAGATTTATAGTTTTTTTTTTTTTTTTTGAGATTCCGTTTGACCAAGACTCAATACCGTTCGAGAGTTCTGGGCTGTTGGGAGGGTTGTGGTGTTTGGGTACCACAACCACGTTGTTCGCATCGTACCACTTGACAAACTTTTTTCCCATAGTGGCAGCTCGCCAAGTCCGGCCAGAACAGCACAAGTCTATTATGTTGCTTTAGGAATGGTAGCAGCCGCTCCTAGACGTAGATCTGTTGATTAATGGTTCCCGTAGTAATGAAAATGCCGCTTTTTAGACCACACGTGCATATGGCCTGCCACACGAGATATTTTTTTTGGTAACTTCGATAGTTTGATGGTTTTGAAAATTTCAGCCACCTTCCCTTTTCCTGATGCGGTATAAAACTCCTGTCCCGGAAGCTGCTTGAAATCCGCCTTCACATAAGTTTCGTCGTCCATGACGACCTATTTGAACTTTGTGAGCAGATTCGTACAGTCAGGAATCCTTATTGCCGGATCCTTATTGCCGGTATCCCTTATTGCCGGATCCTTATTGCCGGGCTATCCGCGAATAAGGATACCCACAGCTTATGGGATTTTCACTAATGGGGGCTGTAGTGGATTATCTCATTTGTTTCAATACATAAAGCTATACTATCTTCGACAAAGTTGCTGTACTGGGTTAGACCAACAAGCCTGTGCCATTGGATTCAGGTTAAATTGAGAACTACGCCGCTAGAGGCGCTTCACTTTTATGTTACTTATGACGGGCGCTATAATATATGGATCATATTTCCAACATAGAATATTTCGTGATCCTGGCCATATAGAAAGTAACTGTCTTCAGCAAAGTTGTTCAGGTGACCAAGTTCTTTCGGTTGGTGGCCATATTAGTGCAGAACTCTCTCACTACGCGGCGCTAGTGTGCATGTGCAATTCCTATATAAACTGTATCTCGAGAGCCTGGCCATATAGAAAGTTGCTGTTTCCAGCAAAGTTGTGCAGGTGATCAAGTCTTTTCGGATGATGGTCATATTAGTTCAGAACTCTCTCACTACGCAGCGCTAGTGTGCATGTGCAATTCCTATATAAACTGTATCTCGAGAGCCTGGCCATATAGAAAGTTGCTGTTTCCAGCAAAGTTGTGCAGGTGATCAAGTCCTTTTGGATGATGGTCATTATAGTTCAGAACACGCTCACTACGCGGCGCTAGTGTGCAAGTGAATTTCCTGTATAAGCTGTATCTCGAAAACCTGGCCATATAGAAGGTTACTGTCTTGAGCAAAGTTGTTCAGGTGACTAAGTTCTTTCGGATGATGGTCATATTAATTCTGAACTCTCGCACTACGCGGCGCTAGTGTGCACATGAACTTCCTTAATATGTTATGTCTCGAAAGCTTGTCCATATAAGATGTTGCTGTGCAATGTGAGAACAGGAACCGGAAAAGGGATGACGTGTAGATGCCGGAAATCGATGTCAGATGCCATTTTGGAATCCAAGATAGCTGCGCTGCGTAGTGAGAACTAATATGACCATCATCTGGAATTACTTGATCACCTGCACAACTTTGCTCAAAACAGCAACTTTCTATATGGCCAGGCTCTCGAGATACAGTTTATATAGGAATTGCACATGCACACTGGCGCTGCGTAGAGAGAGTTCTGCACTAATATGGCCACCATCCGAAAGGACTTGGTCACCTGAACAACTTTGCTGAAGACAGTAACTTTCTATATGGCCAGGATCACGAAATATTCTATGTTGGAAATATGATCCATATATTATAGCGCCCGTCATAAGTAACATAAAAGTGAAGCGCCTCTAGCGGCGTAGTTCTCAATTTAACCTGAATCCAATGGCACAGGCTTGTTGGTCTAACCCAGTACAGCAACTTTGTCGAAGATAGTATAGCTTTATGTATTGAAACAAATGAGATAATCCACTACAGCCCCCATTAGTGAAAATCCCATAAGCTGTGGGTATCCCTATTCGCGGTTCCTTATTCACGCCCCCATTACCCCGGCAATAAGGATTCCTGACTGTATACAGCTTTCGGGACCGCTGCTTTGCCGACGTGTTTTATTTGGAATCTCGGTTCGCCACCTTCACCTTCTTAAACTTCGACAACTCGGCTCGTCTCTTGGCCCGTTGCACAGTAGTATGGAAGACATTGAGCTTGCCAGCGACCATAATCAAAGAGCTTTGGGGGTGATGTGGTGGCAGCAAGGCAAGCGAACGTCCAATGAAAATTAACTCTTAAACAACAATAATGTATGGTGGTCCTAAAAAAAAACCGTGTTGTCGTGATGGTTTAGTAATGCTGAGCTATTAGGGTGTTCAACACGGATGAGGCTGGCGAGCTGTATGCTGTTTGGAACGAGAGTGACGAGCTTGGAATAGATGGCCCATAGCGGCACACGACAAGCAACTGAATCCGATCAGTAGCGGTGCGGCTTCTTCCTCCTTCTTCTGTGAATGGACGCTCATGTTGGCTGCAGTTCGCTGCTTGCGCGCAGCTATTCGTTGTGCACTGGAGAACAATGTTCATCGTCATGCGTCGAAAGCACTGCTGCTGCTGCTGATGACGACCAGAAACCACAACTCACCACAATGACGAGACCGGATGGAATTAAATTTTGAAATGTGTTAGGGAAAGCGTTTTTTGCAGGCAATCAATGATAATTTTGATCACCATTGTAACAGTTGGGCATTTGTGCAATTTTCAATAGTGACCTATTAAAAATTGATGTTTTCATTTTAGCAGATTCGTAGAAAAAATTCCAATCGTTTGGCTTGTTTAGAATTAAAATCCATCCGCCATTGACCGAGTTATAAGTGGTCAAAACCTGACCACTTTTCGTAACGCGGTCGATTTTGGTGTTTTGAAATTGCACCCCCAATATGTTGCCGAAGATGTAAACCTAGATCAAAAAATTGATCTTGAACATAATAAAAAAAGTTTTCCAAATGCTTAATCTAGTCGAACAGTTTTGAGACGATCGTCGTCCAGAGATTTAAAGAAAATAGGTTA